GGATAATCGGGATGGGAGTGTCAGAGACAGTGTGATTGGCACAGGACAGAGCAGAGTTTAGGGCTGTTGTACATAGGGTCGCTATGAGTCGCAAGCACGTCAATGGCACTTAACAACAACAACAAGAAGCAGGATAAACAAAAATTATTTGGTTCCTGTTCAAAAGGAGCGTACTGTGAACAGAAGATGGACACAGGAAGAAAAATTTTAATCAAAGACACACTGAAGAAAGCAGCAGTTCAATATTTTCCTATCATTTTTTTCCGATGTAGGACACTGATATTTGGCAAAGCTACAAAGAAAAGAAGAAGAAGAATAAAGTCTTTGGTTTTAATACACTGACAACACTGAGTCTAGATAATAATTAACTAATTGTCACTTTTCAGTATTTCTCAAAAAATTCAGAAGTCCTAATTTTTAAGCCCACATTTCTGTAAACACACTATTGCTGTTTGCAGTTGAGTGGGAACCTTCTCATAGGTGACCTTTTTCAGAGGTAGTACATTGTATGGGAGGAGACTGCCCATCCTTCTCCCACAGAGCATCTGGTGGATTTGGACCACATGCCTTTGGGATTGTAGCCCACCTTCTTGCTGCAATGCCAGTGAGAAGGCATGCAGTGTGAATCCACCAGCTGCTCCATGATAGAAAGATCAGCAGTCTCCTTCCCTGTGATCTACTGCATTTGAAAATCCTACTGGAGGGTCAACTATGTGTTAGTTCCAATTTATGGCAAATAACTGCTTCTTTTAGATAGTCTGAGAAGAAAAACAGTGTGCATCATAACAACATTAGGGAATAAAGGAATTAAAATTAAAGGAGTTGCTACTTGAAATTGTCTTCATACCTTTTTAGATAAAATAGAATATGTAAAGTCACAAGAGAAATCCCTGAAGTGCATTCAAACTCCATTTAACTCAACTGGAATAATAAATTTTAAGTGTGTCATTTGAACTATGTGTTGCAATAAATACAAGGAATACTGTATTCACTTTAGGCATAATTCTGATACTAGCTACTAACAATTTTAATGTCCTCCCATACAAGCTTGGAACTAGGAATAGCATCCACCTCTGAAATAGCTTGCCTCCAGAAACTCTATGAATGTGGAGAAACAAAGTTATCCAAGTTTTCAGGTCTTTCATTTATAGGGTCATTATGAGTCATCTACAACTTGATGGCACTTAACAACAATAAAAATTATTAGTATATACACACAGGCATACAT